AAAACTATAAAACACAGTGTGTATCTATCTGTCTGTCTGTTTGTATTATTGACGGGGATTGTAGCAGGTAAAAGCTACTACATTCCGTCAATAATACAAACAGACAGACAGATAGATACACACTGTGTTTTATAGTTTTAGATGACCAATTCTTATCTATACAAAAGAATTATCTGACGTAAATGTCACAGATATAAGGTTATGCTCTTTTCGGTAAACGTCATTTACTAACTGTGAAAAATATTGTGTTACAAAATGTTAATTTTGAATCAGTTTCTCGTAAAACATTTTTACAGTTTTATCGAGAATAATATTTTTCAAATAAAATACAGTCCATGAAAATCCTACGGATATAAATTCCAAATATAAAACATTGAAAGTGTTTCTTTTCACCATTTTGTTTGTGAACAGATAATAATATTAAGATACTAAGTAAACAGTAAAATAATATGTAGAATAAGACGCTAGCCGAATGGGGACAACTGAGGATATCATAATGTTGCACCTTGATATGTCGATCTATAATCCAGTTCAATTCAAAGTCTTCATCATCATCTCCAAATGGATTAATGAGTTGTTCGGCAACCTGTAAACGTAAAATAGTTACTTTAACAGTCAAACATCTGATACATTTCGTGTATAAAGCAAGTACCACGATGATGAAATAACAAAAAGAAAATTACCTGCTACAAGATACGTCCTTTCTGGCGTAACTCGACGATTTAATTGCGAGAAAGGTACACTTTTGTACATTTTAGTCCAAATATACCCTAAATTTTCTATCAGTCATAAACTACTCGCTTCTAATTGAGAGGAAACCAAACTACTTAAATTAGGTAATAAATTGCTGTAACATCAGTACGTGACCGAGGAACTAGCAGAGAACCGCAAAACATTTGCGGCCAAATTAGTATCTTTATTGCAACAGTGCGTCTTTAAATACAGGATTTCTAGAAAAATGCATAAGAATTCTAATCGCAGACATTGTAATCTATAAATCCACTTGTCTTAGTCCTAACATTATCTAAGCCTTTATTAAATACGGCCTATATTCGATAAAGAGATAAATTAACACTGTAACTTGTGTACGTTTTTTTGTTTTAATTCAGTTAGGGCTAAACCTTATGGCCAGGTGGTTAGAGCGCTCGACTCACAATCTGAGGGTCGCGGGTTCGAATCCCCGTCTCACCAAACATGCTCGCCCTTTAAGCTGTGGGGGCGTTATATGTGACGGTCAATCCCACTATTCGTTGGTAAAAGAGTAGCCCAAGAGTTGGCGGTGGGTGGTGATGACTAGCTGCCTTCCCTCTAGTCTTACACTGCTAAATTAGGGAGGGCTAGCGCATATAGCCCTCGTGTAGCTTTGCGCGAAATTCAAAACAAACAAACAAGGGCTAAACCTTACCGAACTTAATACTATCAATAAATAATCTTTTAATATTATTGTACGACCTACGTTAGATCTTTTTAAAAATTTTGATAAGCTATTAATATCTTGTATAAAATGTATACTAAAGTATATTTTAGAAATAAACTCAGAGTATTACCACCATAGAGTTGTATCTTTAACACCAGAGCGCACACTTTTCACGAGACTCGGTAACTACAAGATAATCCCCCGCCAATATCAAAACGGGTAAGTGTCAAAACACTTCTGCTACACTGCCTACAGTTAGTCATCTGCAAAACACAAGGTATATATATATATATTCGACATTTATACTTAAAGGCATAAGGAAGTAAAATATAGACAATTTTTAACAAAGGAATTTTATGCGCAAATAGTATAAATTGTACTTAAAAAGCTGATACAGATTCCTATCTGCAATTACAGAATTAAGATGTTTAAATCGTTTGTTTGTTTGTTTGTTTTTGGATTTCGCGCAAAGCTACACGAGGGCTAACTGAGCTAGCCGTCCATAATTTAGCAGTGTAAGACTAGAGGGAAGGCAGCTAGTCATCACCACCCACCGCCAACTCTTGGGCTACTCTTTTACCAACGAATAGTGGGATTGACCGTCACATTATGACGCCCCCGCGGCTGAAAGAGCGAACATGATTGGTGGGACGGGGATTCGAGCACGCGACCCGTAGATTGCGAGTCGAGCTCCTTAATCACCTGGCCATTGTTTAAATCGATTACTTGACAAAGAGCCTGGTGGGTTCGAATCCAACCCAGTTTTAGTTCTTCAGACAATTTCTACACAAAGTTAGCCTAAAACGAAGAATAGACCAATGAGATATAGAAGTTTGTAAATCTTCTAACAATAACAATATTCAAGTAATCGTCTATTTAAGGATCATAGGTATGAACTGTAAAAAAAAAAAGTTATTTTAAGTCTCTTTCAAATTATTAAAATACGTTATTTATACTCTTTGTGGAAACAGGTATTACACACCAACCTTAAATTAAATGATATATCTTTAGCAAACTCAATACTAGTTATTTTAACTGAGATCTTTAATCTTTCGTGAATGTTTTAGATAATTATTATACTTTTGAATGATATATATAATATAACAGGTATTTGCTTAGATTCGTTTGAAAAATAGTTACCTCTGAAGACATTTCAATGATTGCATTTTAAATAATTTACTAACACTAATGATTATATTATGAAAAAGCAGTTACTACAGACTTCTAGCAAACGTTTTTACTATTATCAAAAACAAACCATATCATCTTCAAAATTACTCGACTAAATGTTTCGATATTTTTATATTATATTATTTAAAATTATAACACCTAGTAATGTAAACTATCTATATAATTACTTGATCATCTAGATCTTTCATTGTTCAGTTCCTTTTCGAACACTTCTTGCTTATACTACTAACAAATAACATTAGAATATGTTCAAAAATTTTGCACCACTACGCATAATATTTAAACAAAGTTTCTAATTTTGGGAAATACAGAGGAGTCCACAATCAGATTTTTTTATTTAAAAAAAAGAACATAAGAGGCCGCAGTGGAGAAACGTTGTTTGAAATAAAGTTCTTATTATTAACTGGAGAGTAAAAATAGTTTTTTTCTAAATATATTGTCAAAAATAAAATAATCTATTTTCAAGATGATAACTTTGGAAATGTTCAATAATTCAAAAGAATGAACAGACTAAAGCTTTGTTTTATTATCTTCTTCAAGAGGGACAAAAAGGTTTCCCGTTTTCTTTATTTATAATTGTGCCACCAGGGGCATAAAAGGATTTATATAAACTCTAAAAAAATCGATGTATATTTCTGACAATCAATTATACATACATTAAAATAATTTGAGCATAATTTATAATCATTACTACAAAATTAAACACGGTGTTTGGTAATAAATTGTAATGGGGACATTTTACAATATTTATAACGTTTTAAATATATTTTAAGTTAACATTGACTTTTGCTACTTGAACATCGTGCTTAGAAACATATTATGTAAAACAGATATACAAACTTAGTATTTCTTCTTATTAAGGTCCTATTTTCTATAGCTGTCATTCACACGTTGAATTTCTGCAGTCTATTATAACCATTCTATGGCTTATTAAGAATATATATATATATATCGCCAATCTGTTGCATATGGTAACAAAGAAATAATGATTTAGGTCTAACCTATACGAATATTGACAGACAAGAACTGATTTGAAAGTTTAGTAGATTTAGTCACTGATCCAAATGATACAAAAAGTTAATTTTTTATATATAATGTAGAATGTTTACATTATTAAATATCTTTGCGTGTAAAGGTCTAAATCTTCAGTATCTATAATTCTATAAATTATTTGAAATGAGAGTGATTTAGAAATATTTAATGTTTACTGTTATAAGGTGTTCTATTTTTTCTACTCAGGTTATGGTTTGTTTTGAATTTCTTTGACAATGTTCCATAAAGATTTTGATGAAAACCGGTTTGAAGAGACTGGTAAATCGAGGGGTTCTGTTCTCTCTGATGTTGTGGTAACACTTTGTACACGTCCACTTTGGTTCTCAAGTGGAGTTTCTTTAAAGCTGGTGCCAGACTCAAAATGTTGGTGATGTTGTTCCTCTGGTATATTACAAATTTGTTTTGCGTTTGGTGGCGGGGAACCACTAATTCTTGCATTGCCAAGAATTTCCATATTTTCACATGACTGATATTTTAAATCTAATGAACCTGCTTTCCTACTGTATGAATCACTGAAAAACGTTTTGCTTTTAACTTCTGTCAAGTTTGGAAGACTGATACATCGAACAAGGTGCTCGTTTGGAACTGTCCTGTTTGGTAATGTTTTGGCATGTTGCTCTATAGTCTCCTTCTCACCTAACATTAGTTCCCTTCGATATAAGAATTTAAAAGGAGATTTTGTTTCAACACAAGATTGATATCGATCTTTCTGAACCACCTGTACATCAGAATCTGCAAGATTCGGCGTTGAAGAAGTAAGATTGAAATTTGAGCTTTCTTCGTTTGGAATTTGAAGCATAGAACTTGCAAGTACTCTTTGTGAAATGGATAATTCTGGTAAAAATCGAACGCCTTTACGAAGTTGCTTCACATTGACATTTTCTTTATCTACCAATTGGTTTTTCTGGTTACGATCTGCGGCTTTACGTGTAGATTGTAATCTTTTGATGTGCTTGAGGGGTATTTTTGGATTGAGTGGAAGAACCATATTTCCAACAACAGAGAGATTCTGATTCGAAACACCAGACGTTCGTTGCATATTACCTTTTGTAACATTTGAATTAGTTATGTCGTCTCCAGATGCTTGCCTTGTAAAATCTTTGATGTCAGGAACCTGTGCATCGCCATCAGACACCATTTCATCCGGACCAGAAGACCTATGATGTGAATAAGTATTAAGTATATATTATTCAACTTTAGATTACGCTTTATTCTTCAGAAAATCATAATACTTTTAGAATTTAAAGTAAAGCATTTCATACCAGGCAATAGATACCTTATATATAATATCATAAACTAAGCAGTATTTTAAACTATAATATCACCATCTTCTCCGTGTAATAATAAATATTAATTTGATTTAGTTTCATAGCAAGTCTGTAAAGCAGTTTGAATTTTAGTATATTTTTAAAACGAGTATTATACGAGAGCAAGTAGTCGGTAACTTAAAATCTGGCTTAATTGAACAAGTATTTAAAAATATCATCACCTTTTTTATAATATTTCATTTATCGCTTATTGTTTATTCGTATTGGATAAATAGAAATGCATTTTCCAGTACATCTTCAAAATCAAAGTCAGCGTGACATATCTCCTACGTTAAGACAGAAAATGACAGCTTGCGTCGCATTGCTTAGAGTTTTATTACACATTGTTTTATTAACTGTAAATGTTTTTTACGTTTACTAAATCAAACTATAAACTAATATGGGCATACTTTCGCTTTGGATTTTCAAAAGCTATTACTTAAAAATATGACAAATAATTGTATTAAAGTTGTTGTTGTCTCCCAGTGGAACAACCGTAATGCTAAAATCAGGTGATCGATTCCCCTCGGTGGACACAGAAGATAGCTCCATGTGGCTTTGCTATAAGAAAACACACACCCAAAGTTGTGCACCTAAATAATAGACCAAAGAACACTATCATTAACATGAAAAATTCATTGTTACCTTAATGGCATGATTAATCCAATTGTTAAAAGTGATAAAACTCATATCACAACCACCATGGGTGCTGCAATAGAAAAGCTTGTAAAACAAACAGGATGCATCATTTTTATTCGGTATTCATACTGTATGAAAGGTGAAATTCTGTCACAGTAAATTTCACTAAAAGGATCTCAAGGAGAAACTTGGCGCTTTTTCTAAGTCAAGATTAGTTTGATCACCCGTGAGTTTTAAATACATGTACTTATATACTTACAAAAATCTATAGAAGACTTGTGATTATATTATGTTATACTACTAGAGGGCGTCTTTCATGAAAATATTGAAAGGTATTACTTTCTTTAGACGATAGAAGTTGAAAATTAGTTGCAATTGTTAAAGCCTACGCTTTAATTTTTTTAACCCATCTATATTTTTTACCAGTGATAGCTTTACATAAACAAAGCTTTTTAAACAATTACTCTGGATATTTTGTATTAGTTTGTTTTACTTTCAATTAAACGGGTGTCTTAATATTGTGTACAGGGATAAAAAAAGGGGGAGAATCTTACCCCCAGGTACCTGAGGGAGGATAGTAGACAATGTCCGGTGGGCCATCGTCGGAATCTGCTGATGTATCCAAAGGCTCTCTCTCGATATCCACCAGGCTACCGCTAGGACTCACGCGTCTGTTGACCTTCCCACCAAAAATTGTCCAAACCGAAGCCCTCCGTTGCCCAATATTAGGCTGATGCCACATGTCATCATTTTTTTCTTCTTCTTCTTCCTCTTTGACGTCAGGCATAACCATTCCTTGTTGTTCAGAGGGTACGCTGGAGAATGTTTAGTCTCGTTAATATCTTGTCTATTTCCAGTAATTCCAGTTTTAGCTAATGTATTTTACTTCATTCTCACAGAATGTTCATTATTTCAGCTTATAAATCGAAGCAATATATATATATATCTTATTAAGATTACAGATTTCAGCTATGTTTATAACGGAACTAAATATGTAAGGATTCAAATAACCATAAATCTAACAGGCATGATCTATCTGAAAAAAAAAAAAAACAGAAGAAAAATTATGTATAAAGCTATATAGAAAAACAAACTTAACGTTATTGTACACTTCAGGTCGTTCGATGAAAAATCTACGACAGAAAAAATATTAAATAATGATTGTCCTTCAAAACTGAATATAATATTTTCACCGAATCGTGTTTGAAGTTTCGTCTTGAAATTCCAGCTACTATTTGTTGTTGTGATAGTATTATCTACTATTTGTTGTTCTGATAGTATTATCTATAAGGAGGACTACTTACTGCATGTATGCCACAGACCCTCGGTAAGTCTTCTTCTTGTACGCAACAGAAGCTTCAGTATACGGTAACCTCATGTCAGTCTCATCAAAATAACAGTCTCTGACAAGTGGGGGAGGGGCACAGCTCAACGTGTCTACTCCAAGATAAGAAACCTGAACGAGTAAACCATGCCGAAAATCAGTTAAGATACGGTATGAATAGTTCATTATGAGCATGAAATAATATGAGTCATCTTATTACACGAAAGGTATCAGAACATGGTAATGAGTTAAAACAAAGAGTATATGAACCCCTATAGTACATATTCGTATCAATATGATGCTAAACCAAAGAGAGAGATTATGAGCCTCTACATTATATGTGAAGTTTCACAACATGATGCTACCGAGGATAATCGTACTTTACAAGAAAGGTGTTGCTTTTGAATCCACCCCTCCACGATCGACTTGCTGAATTTGAAGACCATGGTTACGTACTACTGGCCGACACCACCATACCCATTGTAATATGCTTCTGCGAAGAAGAGCGAATTTAGTCTTAGACGACACACCTTGACAAACTTTCTACAGACCTTCCACTATGTACTGGACGTCGGATTTCGAAACCGTGTTTGAACAAACCACAGAGACAAAAATCAGTTAGAGCTAACACACATAGCCCATTGTGTGACTTTGTATCAAAAACAAAATAAAGTATTACAGGTGCACTTAGAAACTTGACAAGTATATAGTCAATGGAACTGCTGTGATTTCAGTTTCCTTGGCCATCTTTCCCGTGATTTTGTTGATTTCGAAGTGAAGCTAGAAGCTTGTTACCTTCTAACTGTTAGTCCTCTTATATATTATTAACAGTAACAGAGGATAGATCCAACTTCATTACAGTGAGTTTGTGGGTCAAAGGATTCTCTTTATTAGCCATAGCCCTCACTTTGCTGATGAAAGACTTGTTTTGTTTTGGCAGGACCCTTTGCTACTATAAATACTCTGCTGAGCACATTTTTCCGTTTTCCTGGAAGCTTTTGTCGGGATTAGATATAAATAAGTCATTTTACTTAAGATGTTCTCTTTTTTTTTGTGGAGGTGTCCAAGTTTGAAACCAGAATAATGTGTTGTAATAATATTATTAGTTTATTTCATTCACCTGCATTATTTTGGTTATTCAGCTACCTTTACCTGTAAATGGCAACCCTGTTACAGGTACTCATAAAGTTGTATCTTTAACAATCGATGCGCACTCTTGTCTTAGCCACTCGAGACGCTGTACCCATGTGAGGAATCCAATATGGCGTCCAAAAAAGGTGAGGAAGTGAGAAACGAAAATGAACACACGTGCACAATAACACTGTAAAATTTCCGTAAACCTTTTCGTGAATTTCATGGTATACCTGCATTAGTTTTTAATAAAATCCATCTGGATTCGCATTTTTATTTTATTCAAAACTATTAAAACTGAATACTCCAATAATGCAAGAAAGGTTATCAATCTTATCGTTTGTTTGAATAGTCTTATGATTAACAAAAGATTACACGCTGGCACGTTTATACATTTTAAAAGGTTTTTTGGCTTAAAACTAACTTTACTACATGTATGTAGTTTACTAAACGTAATCGACAAAACTTTTTGTTTTACAATATAGTAAATTACATACACACATATTTAAAGATGTATATGCACAAGTACAAAAGTAAACGAAAATTAAACATCGGTTAAGAAAATAAACTCCTTTTCCCCGAGTACAATTATTAATGTCTTCACAATCAAATTGTTTTATTAGAATTACTGCTATTAAATATTACTTACTAAACATTAAAATAAGGAGTTTCTATTCTTGCTTGAATCCGATTTGAATTTTTAATGGTGAATAAAAACTTACCTCAGTGCTCCTAAACTCCGTAGATTACACTACATAGCTAAATGAAACACACTTCTTAACTTCTCAAGTGCCCGCAATGAAGCGATCTACTTTTCTCTCTAAAATAATTTACGAGTCGAGAGCTAGAACTTCACAAACTAACATCAAGTTTGATACGTTTAGAAAGTGAGTAAACTCCTTCAGAAATACGGAAACTGTATTGTAACACACATATAAGTTCCCACAAAATATAAATTCTGCAAAATCAATTTTGCTGGATGTATGAGACGCCTTGCATGGCCTGATGATTAGGGCACTCGATTCGCAATCTCTTAATCACGGGTTCGAACCTCAACACCGAACAAGCTCGTTCTTTCAGCTATGGGGGCGTTAAAATGTGACAATCAATCTCACTAATCGTTGGTAAAGAGTGGCTCAAGAGTTGGCGTAGGATAGTGCTGACTAGCTTCCTTCCTTCTAGTCTATCATTTCAAAATTATAGACGGCTAGCACAGATACCCCTCGAGTAGCTTTGCGCGAAATTTAACAAACAACAACCTCTATATATAAAGTGGGTCGACGGCTTTGTTGAACATAGGGACCCGAGTAGCATATGAACCACACAAGAAAAATATCAAGCAAGAATAACACCATTACTGCAATTAATCCCACTAATTACTGCAGGAATCTCCTATGCATTTTGCTTTAAAAAATAAGTGATGAATGTTATCACAGGTAAAATCATTAAAAGTTTCAATATGATGCAATATGTGGACTCCACCGATAATTTGAAAGTTAAGAAAAAAGGCAGTTTTTGCAAATACAACCACTGAATCGAAACTGGCTAAATGGCAACAGTTTAGTAGATATTTTTAACATTTATAACGGCAGGCCATTATAAATTAAGCTAAGATGAAGATAGTAAAATTTGATTTCATTTTGAAACAAAATACACAAAACATTCTTGAATTGCTGAATACATTTCCTGGGCCTACTGGAATTTTAAAGTTTTATTTCAGAATATGTTCAATAAAAACACATCTTGACACCATCGCATTCATCACCTAATTCCCTCAAAAACTGTTAAAATCGAACCTGCTACTCTTTTGTTATCTTATTTGTCCAAAAGAGTTCTTAAGCCAAATGGTTATTAATGATTATCGCAACAATATTTGACTTATATAAATCATCACTAAACAGCAATAGCTGGTCCGTTCATGACAGTATTGCACGTGTTTACATAAACTTTCAAGACTAACAAGGGGTATAAATTTCTTCAGCAGATATTTCTTTTGCAACATCTCAACCAACAATTGGTCCAGTTATCAAGTTTTGAACAACTCGACTTTCAAGATCT